CCCCAAAACCCCAAAACCCCAAAACCCCAAAACCCCAAAACCCCAAAACCCCTATATAAGATTTCATTGTTGAGAGGGTATTATAAATTTATATTTGATTCAGAATGGAGGGTGGACAATCCACAGAACTAGGTACCGTACACACCGCTAGTAATGGTGCTCCAATTGGAGACAACCAAAACAGTATGACTGCTGGACCAAGAGGACCAACCTTGCTCCAAGATTTCACTTTGATCGACAAATTGGCTGCATTTGACAGGTAAGATACGGAGAATCAATATTTAGAGAGGAAATCCCAGAAAGAATTGTCCATGCAAAGGGTGCTGCTGCACATGGTGTCTTCGAAGTTACTAACGACCTTACTAAGTACACCAAAGCCTCTTTCCTGAACACTATTGGAAAGAAAACTCCTGTTTTCCTGAGATTCTCCACTGTCGGAGGAGAAAGAGGTAGTGCTGATACTGAAAGAGATCCAAGAGGATTTGCTATCAAATTCTACACTGAAGAAGGAAATTACGACATGGTTGGAAACAACACTCCAGTCTTCTTCATCAGAGATGCTATCAAATTCCCAGAATTCATCCATACTCAAAAGAGATGCCCAGTCTCTGGACTTAAAGATGCCAATATGGCCTGGGACTTCTGGACAAAGCACACCGAATCACTCCATCAGGTCATGGTCTTGTTCTCTAACAGAGGAACTCCAGATGGTTACAGAAGAATGAATGGATACTCTTCTCATGCCTTCAAGTGGGTTAACGAAGATGGGGAAGCCTTCTACGTTCAATACCACTTCAAGACTGACCAAGGAGTCAAAAACTTCACTGCAGAAGAAGCACACAAAATGAAGTCTGATAACCCAGATTATGCCACCCAAGATCTCTTCGAACATATTGACAAGGGAGATTTCCCAAGCTGGACTTTCAAGGTTCAAATCATGCCAGAAGCTGATGCTGAGAAATACAAGTGGAACGTACTCGATATCACCAAAGTTTGGCCTCATGAAGACTACCCACTTATTGAGGTTGGTAAATTAACCTTGAACAGAAACCCAAAGAATTATTTCGCTGAGACTGAGCAATCTGCCTTCTCTCCAAGTCACCTCGTTCCAGGTATTGAGCCTACCAACGATAAGATGCTCCAAGGGAGACTTTTCTCTTATCCAGATACCCACAGACATAGACTCGGACCAAACTACCATACCATCCCAATCAACTGCCCATACAGAGTTCAGACCAGAGATTACTTCTTGGCTGGAATCCATGCTGACGAGCATGAGGGTACTGCAAAGATCCCATACCAAGGAAAATTCAACGATGCTCCCAAGGAATGCCCAGAACACGAGACCAAGAAGTTCGCAGTTGAAGGAGAAGCAGGAAGATACGACCAATCCGAGCATCCTAACTCAGACTTCGAGCAACCAGCTGCTCTCTTCAATAAGGTAATGGATGAATTTGAACAAGAGTCTCTTGTTCAAAACCTCGCAGGACATATTGGATCATGCAGAGAGGAAATCCAGATCGCCGCTCTTGAAGCTTGGGCCCTTGTTGATGATAAACTCTCCGAGAGAATCAAGGCTGCAATCAAGTAAACGTATCATTCTGAGATTTAATGTAATTGCTAAAAATTACGGCCATATTCTAGATTATTATTTTCTCATGGGATATATCAACACGAGTCACATAATTTGGGGTTTTGGGGTTTTGGGGTTTTGGGGTTTTGGGGTTTTGGGGTTTTGGGGTTTTGGGG